CATATTTTCAGTCAAGCAAAGAACAGTTTCTTTGAAAGGGACAACTATATGTGCAGCATACTGACAACAAGTACAGTATTCTCCAAGCGTCAGTTCTGATAGATAATACTGACGTACGCTCTGACTGGTCTGGTGGTGGGCAGGGCTATCCTTTACTTTACTGACACACAGGCGCCCAGCACGTCACCATGCCAGCTATCATTATTCTTGACCCCAATGTCCAGGCTATAAACCCAGTCTCAACGCATAGAAAAGACCGATAATGAGCCATGAATTTTGAAAGTATAGATAATACAACGCGTAACTTTGTATAATGCCATGTATTTAATTAAAAGAAACCTTTTACCGGTTCACCAATGAATACAATATAAATGTATACACGCAAACACTGAACACATCATAAGCTGAATAAAGACGAAGAGTTCCCGAACTGTTAAAAGAGCATGGCGAAAGTATACCCGACATAAAGGCTAGAAGGAGAGGTGTTTGGCAAAATCTTCAGCGAGAGCACATCTCGGCTTGCTCATAGTATTTGTTGGCAATTTTTCCTTTCATTGCTTCTATAGCTACTTCAGCGGCCTCCGTATATAAATTGTAAGCAAGTTCAAAATTCTGCACAAGACCACATCCTCCTTCCTGATACATTTGGGCCATTTTCGCCAGTATTTCATAACGAGGAAGCAGGACACCTTCAACTGAGTCATCATCGGTGAATCCCACCACTTTCTCATACCATCTTATCGCATCCGGATAGCTTGGCTGTGCATTCGGACCCATTCTTCGGCCAGTTTCAAACGACTGAGCCACAAACAGCATGGCATTACGATCTCCCATTTCAGCAGCTGTTTCCATAAGTTCAAAACCGAATTCTTCTCTGTTAAAATCTTCCCTTTCTTCTCCATTTTCAACTAAAATACGATCGTCACCAACATCTTTGAGGAGGTCGTGGGGTAACCTGTACGCCATTTGAGCAACAGTAACGACTGCTTCTAATACACCGCATCGTCTCGCTATATCGAGATGAAAATAAGCTGACTCCTTGTCGTAGTCGACCGAATCATCCCATGAGCTAATGTCAGTATCCAGATTACTCAGCGGGATAGCATGCTTCTCTTCATCGGTTTTCTCCGGGAGAAACCTACCAATTTCGTGATATCGAGCCATGTCGAGATGAATCTGGCCGAGTATGGAAACATTCTGAGTGAGCTTTGAAGATTCAGTGAGCTGCTCTACTTCCATGGCTGAGAGAACTCCGGCTGGCACAGACTTTCGACGAGCATCAACCCAGTATTCTTCCTTCTCAGTATCACGCGTGATTCTCGAGGAACTTCCAAGAGAACTCGAACAGCTTTCGCTGCGTAGTGGTCGCTCTGAAGACTGATTGTAAAACCCCACTTTTATCACGGGACATGGACGCTCTTCTCCAACTTCGTAACCTTCTGTGCTCTCATCAAAAGGGTCGCTGGCCAAATCAGAAGCCACTTCAGCAAGACAAGCTTCGCAAATACAATCAGCATCATGCACTTCTCCTTTGAGATCTAGTCCAAGCTTAAGATCGTCCACTGAAGACGCACGACTTCGAAAAGATAAAGTGCGTAGTCGAAGGCATTCCATTGCATCCTCCTGATTTAGCTCGGGCACGAGTGCGGAGCAAGCGCTAACAGTGCGCGTAAACACAGTCGACTGATTCGCCTTGGTGACGGATGTTCCACGGATCAAAGCTCGATACTCCGCTCGGGATAGATCGAATTCCGTCAAACACAGAGAATGGCAAATATCGTTGCACTTATGAGAGTGGAAAAACAAAGCCATTCCTCGCGTGCCTAAGTTGCCGTCACCATAGTCTGTTCCAAGAACAGTATGCACCTGCGGATCGGTGTAAAGGTCTCCAACGCCTTGAATATCAACAACAATCATCTGATGACCCGATCGCTCAAAAGTGAAATGTGAAAAAGCTTGAGGCGTCTTGCGAGCAATATCAGAAACAAAACCTGAATTTGAATTGTATTTGATGTAGTCGCCTTCAATGTAATGCTCAAGGTGGAACAACGGCTCTGATGGCATATCTATCATTTCAAGTACACACATTTGTACTATATCTATTTTCTTTGGTGGGTCATAACGATTGAATTCCTCAGCCCACAATTTGGCATCCATCTGCA